CTTTACAAGGTACGTTTCACATATGCAAGCCAAGTGATACCCCAAAGAAAGGATTTGAAAGGAACGTTAAAAAACAGCGTAGATGCTCTTATTTGCGCGCTGAACCATACCGCAGATTTCAAAATTTCCTGAAATTTCTCCAAAGACAAGCTTGCTGATTAAGAGCTCAAAATTTATAATTAAGAAAACAACTCGACTTTTAATTGAGATGAAAATCCGATCACATTATTAATATGGAATATTCGAACCGATCGCTCGGATAAATCTCGGTATTTTCGGCATTTATAGAAAAATATAAATTCACCCGTAAATTTTAACTGAGAAGTAATGAGCGAGGAGATCTTGTGATTTCATTAACAAACCATAAATGCATATCTGTGTTGTGGTTGCCAATAGCAACTTATTCTTCCCACCTTTCACCCTGTCGGTTTCTGGATAGCTCAGCTAGCTCTTTATGGTTTTCCAGTTTATATAATTGCCATTAAAACCTGAAATCACAATTCTCAAATACTTGATAATTATATCATATGGGTGAAGATCCCAGATATTAAGGTTTATATACATCTGTATCACCATATGCCTCCCATCATCCTTCGTCATTTCTCACCCTGATAAGCCGTTGTCATCCGTACGTGTTGTTTTCGATTATGCCACAGCTGACAACTGATAACCTTTCTAGTTGCTCTGACAAATACTTTTGTGGTCAGATAGTCAGTCTGCTGACGATCCTGACTTTAAGTGCGCTACGAATTGCAGCTAAGCAAAGTGTCGAAGTGCAAACAAAGGGATGGATGATGAAATCGAAGAAATCGAGGCAACGGAAACTAGAAGTACTGGAGATGCGAATACAGTTCAGGGACCAGCGAAACTGACCAGCGCAAGACGTAAGTCTAGTTGGATGGACGATGTAGAGGAGAGCGACAAAAGTAAGCTTGCGCAAACAGTACTGCAGTCAGAATTGGATTCGGCAGCAGTGCAGCAAGCAACACCGAGTCCAGCAACAATACAGCGACCAGTACCTGATCCGATAGAAATACAAAAAGAAAATCCTCAAAATGTCATTTTGGTAAGACAAAAATATCTTTTTTATAAATTGCTGACTGATAAAAAGTAAAAAGCGCGTCTCTCAAAAACGATAACTAGACGAAAGTGCTTAAGTAACGTTAACATTAGAAACCAAGAACACGAAGATTTTATATATATATATACATATATATATATATAAAATATATATATATATACTAACGGTGATTTTACTGGGATGCTCCCGTACACCGGGCTTGGCTCCAGTTACCTATTCATTCTCCAGTTACTTATTCATTATTTGCATTGGGTTTCGACACTACAACTTTACCTAAAGTACCAAAACTTTCTGGACAATCGGCATAGGTATTCCTTTCAAAAATAGGATTCTTGCGTTTGCATAAAAAGCAAAACCATAAAAACAGAATGAACCTTGTTCAGACTCTTTGATCGTTATGCAAGAAAATTTTTTGCAGGAAAAATTGCTTGTTGAAAATCCTGACGTGAAATTTGCCGAAGAAATCAAAAGGTTAGAACGGCATTTAGTAAAATAGGAAGATACATAAAGTGCGATAATTCGTTTATTAAAAAGTAATGAGCCAAAACATTCCCATTCATTTGCTCAATTTTTTTTAAATGTTTTTTTTTCTTTTTGTATTTTACATGCGTCACCACCACTACCTTCATTTTTATATTTTATATGGATACTTACTTCGATAATCCAGTGTTCCTAATTCTCTTGGTGGTACCTCTCCGGTTTGTTGAGTTTCAGCCCCGGAACATCGTCCCAAGGATCAGCGTCGTCATCGACGAGACGTGCGCCTTTGCCGGATCCAAAAACGATGCGTCAACGTATACACGAAAAACTGAAGCAACAAATGGAGGAGAAACGAGGGGCAATGTATCTCAATAAGCGTTTACAGCGGCAGCGGCAACAGGACAAGGAACTGGTGAAACAAAGCACTTTTGCAAGTTCCGAAGAATACGATTCCGAGCAACTTGACAAACAAATCGAGCATTCCATCAAGGTTATCGCTGTGTAAAAATATACCTTGCAAAATTTGATTTGCTGTTTCTGGGAATGACGCGGTGAAAGTTGTATTCCTCTTGCACGAAAGTTTGAAGGTTCGACTCTGCCAGTGAAATATCACTAGTATGGGATTCTCCAAACGATCTAGTATAGGATTCTCCAAACGATTCTCCAAACGATCTTGGTATCCTTGGTAATAAAAAACTTTCAGGTTTTGATAAATACTAGTCCAGGAATCAAGAACACATTTAACTTCTTCTGTGATTCTTTTGTTCGTTTCGATGCAAAATTAATACTAGTGCTTGTAAGGAGACCAAATTGCTACATGTCTGCTTCTTAGCAATTCTCGAAAGCGGGAACCATCGAAATTCTTGCCAGCGAGTGGTTGCTGATGCATAGTACTATTTCGCCTTCCTCCGAATGCCTTCGTTTTCACAGACAATGAATTCGGTGAAGCTCTTGACTTTTCACTTTTTGATAAAATTCCAAAAAATATAGTAATTTTTCTGTCTTCTGCAGCTTGGAGAAAAATGCACCGGTGATCGAGTGAAACTTCAACCTCCAGATGATTTCCAGTATGAATTC